ACCCCATTACCCAATTTGGCATCATTTGACCAGTAAAAAAAGAACCAATAGATTATATACAAGCAAAGAAAGATGGGGCCCTAAATTAGCACAAAGAATTTTAAATCATGTGCAAGTATAACAGCTTGATTGCTTGATTTAACCATATGTCTTTAATAAAACAAAAATGACTTACTATTTAATCATTTCCTTGTATGTGAATGCCTCCATCCATTGAATATTCACAATGGTCATGATTATTATGTGATACATTTGATATCATCATTGACATAACAAACAATTGCATCACCCAGGTAGTAATAATACCAAGGCCATGCAAAAATGAAACTTTTAACAATGCATGTCTACCCAGACCTCTGGGGTTCACAATAATAAATTATTTTTCCTGATTATCAATTATGGTTGCTCATGAATAATAAATCTGATGTTGATCACAGGTGTCAGATTTAACTAAAATTTTCCTGCCACAAACATGCAAGTCGGTGCAACTAAGCACTTTTCAGCACCATGGAATTTTCTTTCCACAGGTGAAAGCTCCTTGAACATGTTGTAAGGCTTTGGACAAAACATTCCCTATCTTCCCCTCAGACCAGGCTTGGCTGTCACCATATGAGCATTGATCACTGATAGCTTGGTGCTTGTGTATGATTGCTTTGTGTTATTGCCACACTACCCATTTATTTAAATAACAAATTCAGTTGGTCAAATAAAAATTAAACAGAAAATTTGGGAAAATGATTAATTTATACAAAACATACCAAACAAAATCCGAACCATTTTATAACTTTCCTATTAACATCAGAGTCCAAATGCAATTTCAGGGCCACTAACCCTGCTCTGAATTGTAACCTCCTGTGCTTGAATGAGCTGCAGATTCTCATGATATTGGATCGTTGCAGTTGACTTTTCGGCCAGCATGCCAGCAGCCATCTCTGGTCTGGGGAGATTAGTGAAAGCGTCCTTGACAATTGATGCAGTCTCAGTAAACTCCAGGGCCATGCCTCACCCCCCTGGAATTCTGTTGCATCGTTGTATCATCGGGCGGTGCAGGTCAGATTAGCCTTATTATTATGTACACGAGGAATACGTGAGAATGACTGTAATGTGTTCAAGGCAGCGTGCATGCTTCAACACCTGTAAATTTCCGATAATCAAACATTGCATACTCAATATTTCTTTTTAAATGGTGTGCTGCCTTGATATCTTGTGATTATAATATTTATAATAATATTAATAATATTATTAACGATTACGAAAAACAAATATTATTAATTACCCAGCAAGATCTGCTCTGCGTTTTGATTTCCAATTAAAATGTTTATATAAAATAAAAAATATCAATACAAATAAAAAATAGTATCTCTGGTTAGTTATTAACACGTTTTCTTTAGGAGACCCAAACCAAACCAAACAACAATACTCACGTTTTGTCACCTTGGACTCTGTCAAAAAATAAATTGTTTTTCCAAAAAAAAAAAAAAAAATCAATTCGCGCCTGTCCTACCAAAAAAAAACCAATAGGATAAATAGTTGATGTGTACACATCAATCAATCATAAACTTCTTGTTCTATTGTATTCAAGATGCCAAAAAACAGAAAGAAAAAAAACAATAGAAACGAACAAAATTCCAACAAAAATACATACAGGTAAGTGTTTCAAGGATGGTGGTGGTGGTTATCGCCCACCACTCATTGCTTTAGTTACTTATTAAAATAATTCATCATCTTTTAAGTTCTATTAATAACAAAAACTTGGAACAACGACCAAAACGAACATCTAAAGTAAGTGAATTTTTAATAATTTGTAATGGATTACCATTGAATATCTCCTGAATATAAATAAACTTTTAACAAAAAGCAAGCAGCACGTAAATATATGGAATACAATCTACCACAGAAAATTTTTATAAGTTTGTGTATTGTACCTTTAATAAATTATAAATGGCACTGGGATAAGATTGATGTATGGAATTCATTGTGTAAAAAAAATGAACCTATAAAATTGTAAGTAAAATTTACTTTTCTGTATATTATCAATCTTTGAAACATATGATCATGCCTCTAATCTTATGATATTGTTTTTTTATTAGCCTGTTGCAAATTGGAGTAATTAATTTCAATGATAATTATTGCACAAAATTACTCCCATCATCAATGATATCCAATATTCAAAGTCAATTAAAAAATGATGATGTTGATATAATTTATTTCGATGATAAAAAAGAACATGGCATAGAAAAACTTAAAGTTGATATTGATGAAATTGTAGTTAATTATCTAAAGAATTTTGAGAATTGTGTAAATGTCTATTTTCTTCAAATAATTATAGAAAATTCAACATTAAAAATTAATTGTAATATTTTTACAGTATACATTAAATGAACTAAGACAGGCATTGAATAAGAATAATGTACATGCAGAAACAAACACACCATTTAATCTAAAATATGCTTATCAATTCTTTAATAATATGTTAGTAAATTTTTTTTAATTTTGTAATGGCATTAGTAAAAGATGAAGTTTTGTTACTAATATCTATATTTTTTGAATTGTGATTTTCATAATGAAGGTACAATCTTTATTCAAATGATATACTTATTAGAGACTTAAGTGAAGATGAACTTTCAATATATGTTTGGAGCTCACTTATCAACCATGTTTTTATTAAAATAGGTTACAACATAAAATTTTCTAGGTAAGAAAATTAGTCTTTCTAAACTTTTTTTTGTCAATCTATAATATTAATGATTAGAAACTTGTAAAATTTTGTTTTCTAAATTGTAGTGGAGAACTTTCCTCACAATCTTTTGAAAATTTGAAAAAATTAGCTCAGTTGTAGTTAAAGATGGGTCCCGCAATTGAAATGCTGCAACATTTGATGTTGCAACACTGTGTTGCAACATTGCAAAGAATCATCTTAAATTCCGCAATGTCCGCAATTAACTACATGTTGCAATTATCCGCAACTCCGCAAATATTTCCATTGTCCGCAAATATCCATATTTCCACAAATATTTTTTATGTTTGCAAATCTCAAAAATCCTTTTTATAAAATCAAATTAAAATTTATTCTTGGTATCATTTCTTTACAAACTAAATATTTTATTTAATGTTTGCAGATATTTTGGTTAAATTTGTAATTGTGACAAAATTATTGTAGTTCCCATCTTTACCAATATTGTTCACAGTAATTACAAGTTCCTTCATAATGACCACGAGAAATTTCTCTCCCTTTAGTAACATGTTCCCACACTTCAGTAAAACGTCTACCAACACTTCCTGTTGAGTTACTTATATCACTATTCATTTTTACATTTTTTTTATATAAAAAATAAGATAAAAATCTTTTTTTTTTTTAAATCAATTTTTCCCTTACATGAAAAATATAAAAAAGAATTGCGGAGCTTGTACAGAATTGCGGATATAGAAAATAATTGCGGAATTATGGTTTGTTGCAACAAGCCGCAATTCCACAATTATTTTCTATATCCGCAATTGTCCGCAATTGTCCACAATTCCGCAATTCTTTTTTATAAGCTACAACTAAAATTTATTCTTTGGTATCAAAATAAAATTATTTCTAAAGTTATATTTTGTTCTTATAAACATATCGATAACAATTTAGAAAATAATACTTTTTTTTATTTACAGTATAAACTAAATATTATTTTTGATTTGCAGATCTTTCCTATAATAATTGCGGCTACAACGTTGCAACACCAGTCCAAATCCGCAATAATTGCGGCTTGGAAAAACAATTGCGACTCCCATCTTTACAATCTCCTATATACTGAAGATTTATTGTTGTACAAAAGCATAAAAATTTTTTTTTCGGATCATCTATATATTTTTTAGTGGCTTTTCTTATGTTCTTAATCATCAAATATAAATTTTTTTTTATAAAATGGATGTTTCTGAATGGTCATGTGAATAATGCTATCTGGAGTATATTTCTCAATATGCATCTTTTAAAAAAATACTCTATAATATCAATATTGAACTCAAACAGATTATACAAATTGACTCTGATCCACTGCACAGAAGAACAGCACAATTCATAATCAATGACTGGAAGGTATGATTTATCTTTTGTGTACTACCTTGTTGGGTTGGACAGCTGCAGGAGCCTGACCCAACGGGTTATGAAGGGAATAAAGTCTCTCATTTGTGAGGCTAAAGAAGGTAGTCAAGATACAGTCATGCTGGGAGATGCAAAGCCAACTGGTCATGAATACAAAGTTCGTAGTCAAGGTATAGACATACAAATTCAACTGATCATGAATGCAAAGTTTGAAACCTTCCCTCAATCTTATTATTATTTGAAAATAATCTGCTAATTCTGTCACTTTTTTCTCTAAGAACTGGGCCAAGAATGTTAAACAATTAAACCAGTATAATGAAATGAATCAAAAACATATTATTGAATGCAATGTCATGGTGGTATGTTATCTTTAGCCCATTAAGATGATTAGGACATATAGAATCTTGTAAATAAATTTGTTCCTTTCTCCTTCACAGAAAGAACAGCATAATGAGATCTAAAAAATGCAATATTACAAGATCAAATTATACAAACTACACTAGCAGAACACCTGCACTTACCAGACAAAGAGGAGGCAATTCACCAGGTGATAAACATGCTTTTGATGGCAGTTTAGATTCGAATTTAATTACCTCTAAGAAGGTTAGCATTGAATACTTGCAAATAATACTGCAAAAATGCCTCTCACCTTTCCTTACATTTCAAATATGCACAGATCAAACCTGATAAAGAAAATGTGAATGTCAAGGAAGTTGTTAGTGATGATGTTATACAAACGACTTATCTGCATATCAACAATTTATAGATATGTTCAAAAAAATTTCAAACAAAGGAAATGGACTTTGACAACCAGAAAAATTATTGAGGATGCGTTATACACATTTGGGATGAAATGTTCACAAGAACAGTAAATATTTGTTTGTTGATCTTTTTTTTTTTGCAATTTAATAATGATTTTTTTACTTTCCAAAAGCCTCTGTCATCCTTTCTTAATTGACCCAGATGACAAGAACTATATACTAGGGTTGGCAAATTGACTGGTCCATTGGGAACTGATGGATTTTACTGGTCCATTGCCATTAATAAAATACTAAATATGGTTAAAGTATTACATTAATGGTTCCAATAGACCATCAATGGATTGCACATTTGTCAACCCTGCTATATACAACAAGATGTCTTCACATGTGAAGAATTAAAGATTTTGACAAGAAAGGATTGCCATTAATGCCAGACAATCTTTTGAAGTATCTTCATGGTTTCTGAAAGGTGAGTGTACTTTTCATAATGTTCTACACACACATTTTATAACTTACTCAGATAATATACCAAATAGTCCAACACTTCTGACTTGCAAGAATTAATCTTTCATCTGATTTATGTGATCCACCATTCAATCAATCAAAAATTTCAAGCATGACTGAATATGTAATACTATATAATCTGTAAATAGAATGTCATTTTGATTGTGTCATACTGTTATGCACATAATTGTTGAAGGTATTGTTATAATAATAGTATGCTTGAATATGAAATGAATCATCTTGCAAAGGATCACCTTGAAATGTGGTAGTGATGCTAGCCATTAATAATCTGCATACATAATTTCTAAATGTGGTAATAGATTTTCCGTGTTACCTTCTGGTTATAGAAATAAAATTACCAATTTAGATAGTAAACAGCTTAGCTGGCTAACATCACCTTGAAGTGTGGATCACATTACATATGTAAACATTCATCAATAAAGCCTTCTTAGACATGGATTGTTAGGTGAGTTTTTTCCTAGAAAAAACCTTTATCTACTATTATAATTGTGGTTAACTTTTCTCACCTTTTTTTGCAACAGAGGTGAATCATGCAGCTATCCATCATTGAATAAAAAAAATACACAATGGGTTATTGCATCAACAATTCCAGTGAAAAGAAAGACAATGGGTCAGCATGGCATATTGAATATGGGTGTGGTGAAGCTGGAAAGATATTTGAAGTCAACAATGGTGCAATAATATTAAAGAAGGCAGTTTGAAAATGCTCAAAATGCTTAGAGATATGTTCAATGATCTTTGCAGGCTATGAAAATGCAGGCGAGTAAAATTAAAAAGCTGAAAACAGTCAGTTTTATCATATAAGCTTTTGCATTTGTTAATTCTTGATTTGTATAACTCAATTGTGCTACTAATATAGTGTGATCATGATATTCATCTAGACAAAAATAGTTAATATGAAACTCACATCAAATCTACTATGAATTACAGCACCATTAGAAGTATTCTAAAAAAGGAACAAGGTGAAAAAATTGCTCCTTACATTTTCTAAATAAATGATACTCAGGCACTTGAAGCTCATCTAAGAAAAGAAAGGATTACCTATGAAATTTCTAAAAGAAAAAAAAATTATCACTGAAGGAACTTAAAGTCATGAAAAACAAAAAGCAAAAAAGAAACAAGTTAATTGAGAATTGTTAGCATTATCTGGTTTTGGGACCATAGAAAAACTCACATAATTTCATTTCCGCATACAATAGAGACATGAAATAAATTAATGTGTGTGTAAACAATAAATTCTACATAAGATAAAGTAAAATTATTACATTGAATCTATTATTCATATTATATGAATAAAATTTGTCTTTTAACCCCTTTATGGAAAAAAAATCTTATGCAAATGTTATTTTATTTTTTTATATAACTCATTTTCTTTTTGAAAGAAAATAATAATGAACAATTTATATCATATCTTTTGTTGTAATTGCTGATTTGAGCTATTAATCTAACAAATTCATGTTATTATAATAGAATAATAAACCAGAAGGTTATAGAAAAGAATAAAGAACCAACATGATAACAAGATTAATTATTGATTAATGATTAATTATCAAAAAGAATAAAGCTTATTATTAGAAAGAAAAAATTTTCTGAATCATATGTCTGAATCTGAATTTAAACTTTTTTTGCATTATATTATTATTAAAAATAAAGTCCTACTGATTTTTCTATGACAATTTTCTACATTTCTATTAAATTATACAACTTTCTTTTAATATCAATGTTAAAAAAAATCATTGATTCATATAAAAAAAATAGTAATCTTACTGGTGGTGGTGATGGGGATCTCCTTGATTTTTGAAGTGAAGATAATACCAACTTTTTAGTTTTATTTTTACATTCATTTCTATGCTCATTCTTATTATTATTTAATATGTTGTCAAGTTCTTTTATTTTATTTTTCAAGCAAATTGCCATATTCTAAGAAATGAAACTTTTATTATTAATTGTTAAGATATATTAATTATTGAAATATAATTAAACATTTTTTTATACATATATACAATGATCAGTTCTAAAGACTTGACAAAATAATTATTATTTTCTTTGACTGGTATTAATTGACAATCAACTTCATGTATTCAATATACTCCAAAGCATTTTTTGGTCTATGTCAAAAATGCTTAAATAAAATCCTAAAATAAATTTAAGGAATCAGAATCAATTAAATAAAAGGCTAAAAATGCCTAATTATAATAAAAAAAAGCAAAGGAGATACATCAGGAAAATGGGTACAAATATTATGCATATATAATATGCAATTGCAGGGATTAAGCATATAATATATGTACAATTTGAATACATAAAAAAATACACGATTTGTATGCATATTATATGCTTAATCCCTGCAATTGTGTATTATATACGCATAATATTTGTACCCATTTTCCTGATGTACTATTGGAAATAAATATTATTTTACCAGAAATCAAAAATCCATACAATTCCAAATCTTTAAAATTTTCTAGCATAAAGCTATTAGATTTTTTCACATAATGTTTAACAATTGAGTCATATGTGTCTTTCATGATTCTAAATAATTTGTTTTTGTTGCTTTTGGTTTTAACAATTGATTTTAATCTTTCTTTACACCAAGGGTCACCAGCAGTGTTGGCAAATATGTACAAATATCCCTTGTCTGATTGTCCAATTTGTGTCCAATTTGCTGTATTAGGCAATTTGGACTAAAGATGGCTCCTCAATTAGTTGCAACTAATTGCGGCATATAAAAATTAAATTGCAGTTGCGGTTGCAGCATATGAAGATTGAATTGCGGCTAATTGCGGTTCCCATCTTTAATTTGGACAATTGGACAGGACAAATCCAAATAAAAATTAATTGGACACCTAAAAATGCCAACTCTGGTCACCAGCAACCTCACCTATCAAATATTCATGTCGTTTTTCTCATTATTTTCTGATATTTTCTTATCTTTTATCATTAGATCAGGCTTTCTGCCAATTCTTTTACGTTTCTAGGATATGTAAAAGTAGAAAATCAATCTAATGAAAAAATTTAAGGAAATATATAATAATTACTTTTGTCTGATTATTATTTTCTTTCAATTCTTGATTATGTCATTCTTTGGATGCCTTGGACTTATAGATGCTGGTCACAATTCTTGGTTATGGTTGCAACCACCTTTGCGACCACTTTGGTTTCCTTTTTTGGATTGCGACATGGAACACTACTTGGACTCTTTTTCTGGACTAGAATGCAAAATCAGCATTAATATGAATTTGAAATTTTTGAGCTGTAACATGCCATGTGCCAGTTGAATTTCATACACTGGGTGGATGATTAAATACAAAAATCAATTGGCTAACTTCAATCTCATGCATAACAAAGATAGATTACAGTACACTTGCCATATAACTTTTAGCCCATTCATTATTTTTTCTGCCATTTTTAGTGGAACAATTATACTATCTGCTTCCCACATTCCTTCACTGATATCTTCATCATAAAATTCATAGTCCTTTTGTTCTTGGATATTTTCACTAAATCAAAAAATTCTTTGTTAATAAATATTAATAAATATTATAAAACACAACAAACACTTAACTAATGTTCATTTATTTGACATTTTAATTGAGAATCAAAAAGATCTGGCACAGTATTGAAATATAAAGAATAATTACCTGTAATGATGTTCCAATCTTCTTCATTAAATTGGTCAACAATCCAAGATGGTGGATTGGATGTACCGTAAAGTCTGGAAAGATAGCACCCTCTTTTTACATTATCCAAAAAAGGTAACGAATTTATTACACAAAATATTAAAATATATAATTAATATTAATAAACATTTTTGAAATAATTGTCTAGGATATTTTTTGTGAAAAATATCCTTATTGCCATTTTTATACCTATTTTTAGAAGGTGCTATCTTTTGGGGGTGATATCTTTCCAGACTTTACAGTATCAAGGATCAATGAGAAAATAGAGTCATCATATTCCAATGAGTCTATTTCCTGCATCTCGATTATTCATTTTAATTCTTTTTGAATATCTTTTCCATTTACTACCCATGGGAAACATTCAATATCATTATCCTAATTATGTATTTAATTTACAAATTGTGTCTTTTAAATAGAAACTTTAATCATATAGATCAATAATTTGAACCTTTAATTTCAAAATATCAAGGTCGGTTTTTTTGAATTTATCTTTTTTATGCAACAAAGATCCTTTGTTATTATTGTGAATACCAGCTTCTTGTAATACAGCTCTAACTCATGTTCTAACTGAATAAGTATCAATAGAAGTCAATAAATCAATATATATAGAATGACAATATGGGCTAATGATTGCAACCACAACTACCATTTTTTTTTAATGACTAGAGTGTCGACGAATGGTGGCAATAACCACCACCACCATTCTTACAATAAACTAGAGTGACAATGAGTAGCAATAACCACCACCACCACTCTTGCTCATGTTGCTCTTTCTCATCTTCTTTTTTTCTCTTTATTGCAAATGACATTTTTAAAAAAAAAGATAAAAGAAAAGATAATTATTGATTTGATCGACATGCACACATTAATTATTTATTATTGGCACTTGGTGTTGCACAATTTTTTTTTTGACGTGAATTGATTTTTTTTTTCTTCCTTGGAAAAACAATCTTATTTTTTGACAGAGTCCAAAATGAGGAAATGTGAGTGTTGTTACTTGAATCTGAAGACGTGTTAATAACAGAGGTACGTTTTTTTATTTGTGTTGATATAATGTGGTGTTCTTTATTTTTTATAAATATTTTAATTGGAATCGAAACATGGAGCAAATCATTGCTGAGCAAGAGTTCATGGTAATATTAAAAGAATGCCTCAATGGAAAACCAAAATGGTGATTGATAAAAATGGGGTCTGATTCATTTCATCAACAATCATTTTGTCAACCGTCATTTTGTCAACACTCATTTCGTCGAAAGTTTGTTTTTTCAAAAGTTCATTTCGTCGAATGTTCATTTCATCGAAAATTATTTTGTCACTAAAAAAAAACCTCATTAAACAAATATCTCCTCACACTTCCCACACACTCCACTTTCCTCACCTAATTTCTTAACTAACTTCCCACACTCCTCACATCTAACTCTTTCGGTCTCTGGCTCGAGGATGAATAATTTTTGACAAAATGAACATTTGATGAAATGAACATTTGATGAAACAAACTTTTGACGAAATGAACTTTTGACGAAACAAACTTTTGATGAAATGGGTGTCGACAAAATGATTGTTGACGAAATAATTTTCAATGAAGTAAATGTGACCGATGAATTCACCTTTGAAAACATTGTTAAAGGTTTACAGAATGAACCTGACATAGTTCATAGTCTTTTGGTTTTATTTATGATAAAAATAAAGAATTAGAAGAAAAGAATGCTATTTTAGAACCAACGGTGGTAGAATTAGAAGTCAAGCAAAAAGAGTTGGAAACTGAGATAGAAGAATTAGAAGACAGAATAAAAATAGAACAGGAACAAGTTAAGGAAATTTCAGCAGTGAGTGAAAAATGAAGTAAAAATCAAGCAAAAGATATAAAAGAAAAAAACAATAAACTCAAAAGTGCCAGTGAAAAGATTGCTTATTTAGAAACCCGAATTAAAAAGTTAGAGGAAGAATCAAATCAAAAGAACAAAAAATAGAAAAAATTAAGCAACTAGAAGAAGAAAATAGGAATTTAAAAGATCAACTGAATGATCAAATTGTGACTAAAAAATGATCTTGATTGAAAATAAAAAAGTAATTTTCTTCTGTATAAA